ATCAACTGTTCGAGTATACAGAAGTAAAACCCATGGATGTACCCGCCGCACAGAAACACCAAACTCTACCTCCTACATGAACTCTGTTATACTGTCCAGTCATAAAAAGCCAATAATAGCAGGAAAGAAGGACGCAGTCACTGATCAATCGCCTCATGTAAATGCATGATGTTGTCACATACTGCCAACAGTATCAGTCGACTGGCTCCAGCTGTTAGCATGAGCTTCTGTCAGTGACGTCCACGTGTGGTTTCTAACCTGCCCTGTCAGGAACGCGCCTGCTTTTCCTTCCATAAAGCCCAGTGTGGCCCAAACACACAGGAATGAGAATTTCCATCTGAAGGGAAAATGGATGTAATGATGATCATTTTAATGATGACGATTATTAGGATTGCTGCAACAATCACCTTTACCCTTTCTATTACCATTAGCTGTGCCTAGACAGCAGCACTGCTTTATACGGCCATTAAATCTGTGCACGGACTATTAATAGTGCTAGAAAGAGTCGGCAGCTGTGAGCAGGCCAAACACGAGCTAACTGTTTAAAGTTCCTGCACCTCATTTTAATATTATTCCAAACAATTCATACTTTAGCAGAACTGCACTTAAAAAAAAGAAATGCAGCATAATTGTCCAATTAGAGGAAAAAATGTCAAAAGGACAGAGGCAGACTGGAGCAAAGAAGGCTGGAGAGGCAACGTGAAAACAGATGAAAAGGATTTAAACCAATTAAAACGGCCTAAAAAAAGCAGCAGGCTCGTGGTTGCACGTTACAAACACAATGGCTGCTTTCATCCTCGAGAGCATCCTGAGAACAACTTTTCATTTGGATCGAGTCACAGTTTGAGTGCAGCTCCAACACACAAACGAGCGCACACACTGTCAGTCTGACTGGTGAGCAGAAATACAGCCAATCAGATCCTCGCAGGGTTTCCTCAGGAACACATGGACAGACTCTGCCATCAAACATGCTGTTTGGTTTGAGCTCATACATGCTGTAGTGGGAGGCTGCTGTGTGTTTGAACAGTACAATAATCACATGATCACATTAACAGCTGAGAGAGTGCAGCCATTAAAACTACCTGCAAAATCTTCCATGCTGCTTTTGCAGAGAAATCCCCTGAATATCACCTACCAACACTGCATGATGTCATGCTGGCCCCGCCCTTCTTTATTCAGGGTTTTAATGAAACAGGCATTCTGAGGTTTTCATGGACGTTTCTCCAACACAAACACAGACACAGCTGAGGTGTAGCTCCTTACCCATCTGTTTGGCTGCCAGGAGCAGGCTCTTCAGCTCCTGGCTGGCAGCTTGCTGCTGACTTTTGTCCTGATGCTCGGTGCAGAAATGGACAATCTTCTGCCACGTCAGGCCGTCTCTGGCGAACAGCTCCTGTCTCTTCAGACGCTTGGCCTAATGAGTCACAGAGAGAGATGCAATTACACTTCAAGAAGAGCAGCACTCACTGCTCTGATCACAAGTATCTGGAAATGACCACCTTTGGTTAACAGCACTGTG